GACTTTGGATTCCACTCCTGCCTTGTTGCTGACCCGGCTTGTTCCTGACCTGACTTCGGATTCCACTCCTGCCTTGTTGCTGACCCGGCATGTTCCTGACCTGACTTCGGATTCCTCTCCTGCCTTGTTCCTGACCCGGCTTGTTCCTGACCTGACTTTGGATTCCGCTCCTGCCTTGTTGCTGACCCGGCTTGTTCCCGACCTGACTTCGGATTCCTCTCCTGCCTTGTTGCTGACCCGGCTTGTTTCTGACCTGACTTCAGATTCCTCTCCTGCCTTGTTACTGACCCGGCTTGTTTCTGACCTGACTTTGGATTCCACTCCTGCCTTGTTGCTGACGCGGCTTGTTCCTGACCTGACTTCGGATTCCTCTCCTGCCTTGTTCCTGACCCGGCTTGTTCCTGACCTGACTTCGGATTCCGCTCCTGCCTTGTTGCTGACCCAGCTTGTTCCTGACCTGACTTCGGATTCCACTCCTGCCTTGTTGCTGACCCGGCTTGTTCCCGACCTGACTTCGGATTTTACTGCTGTCTTGTTGCTGACCTGGCTTGTTCCCGACCTAACTTCAGATTCCGCTCCTGCCTTGTTGCTGATCCCGGCTTGTTCCAGACCTGGCTTTGGATTCCGCTCCCGTCTTGTTGCTGACCCGGCTTGTTACTGACCTGACTTCAGATTCCGCTCCTGCCTTGTTCCCGACCTGACTTCGGAATTTACTGCTGCCTTGTTGCTGACCCGGCTTGTTCCTGACCTGACTTTGGACTCCACTTTTGCCTTGTTGCTGACCCGGCTTGTTCCTGACCTGACTTCGGATTCCGCTTTTGCCTTGTTGCTGACCCTGCTTGTTCCTGACCTGACATCAAATTCCTCTCCTGCCTTGTTGCTAGTTCCTGTTCCCGGCTCTGTTCCTGACTTCGGCTTTGCTCATGATTTGGTACCTCTCTGCCCGCTCGTTGATGACTTTGGCTATTCCTGGGACCTTGCTCCTGTCTCCCATCCCAGCTTCCTGTCCTGCTCGAGTGCCCTCCTGGTTGTCCACAATACCAGCTCTGCACACCATAAATGGTTCCTGCTTCAAGTCGGCTGGGAGATCTGACACATCACCTATCCTGAACCTGTTGTGCAAGCGGAATGCCCTTTTCCCCCGGTGGGATTCTGAAACATCGATACCGTTCCTGAAGCGGTGGTTCACCAGTCTCCTCAGAACTCCAACTGTAAGTTCTTCAGGCAACACCTGCTGGCACTCTTGTCCCCCTGGTCCCTTGGCACCCTCTGTTCCACTTCCAGCGGGGTCGGGGCTAGTGACACAAGTGAGGCCGGCCTCGTCATCTCATTCTCCTATCAGCTATGTGACAGAAAGTGATGTTGGCAGAGAATGGGGGGAAGCAAGAAAAGAAGAAAACACATCCATGTCTAAACACAAAAGGAAGACCTGGGAACGAGGAGAAGGGTTCCACAACACTAGGAAGAAATGAGTAAAGGGAAAGTCTGTGCCAGAGGGGACTTCACAAGACGTAACGTCACCCGGACATGACACTACAACCACCTATAACCCAAGATCAGGAACGTTTCAGTGTATCCCTATGACATACATCGTCCATTCCCATTCACTAGGAAGGTTGGGAAGTGTGTACATGTGTATGTATGCATGTTTGTAATAGTTACATAGTTATTCTGGCTGAAAAAAGTCGCACGTCCATCCAGTAGGTCTTGTCTTGTAAGTAGTTCACATGTGCAGCATTCTTGTTTAGTAAAAGCGCATTATAGGGGTTGCTGCTTCCTTGCTTTACTGCAAAGTCACCTAAAAGATACAATTAAAACAATATCCTACAGAGATTGTGTCCTTTCTTGGTCAGCAACCCGATTTCCAATGTATGTTTGGTATCGAAAAGCTTCAATGGACAGATAATGATCCAGAAAAAGTGAAACACATTGGAGGACATTTATCGAGCAAATCGGTGACGCGGTTAGACACGAATCAGGAAGCTCTTACTTGACAATGTCTCTGGGACAGGAGTCCGGTGTATTTGTCACCCGTGCGTCTGAATTCCTGGGCAGCCAACGGCAGCAGATTGCAGGATGTGCAACTGAGTTATTGATGAAGATGAGAGATGCATAATTAAGAAGTAATCAGAGTCAGGTTTCATTCTGTTGCATTTGTGACTCAAGCTGTAACCTTGTAATAAATTAATTACACAATCAGTCTTAATGCTCCTGTTTAGCATTGCCTTGCTGTGAGACAAAACCGATACATGAGAGGAAGGCAACCCAAACGTCAGGACCCAGGCCTGAACCTGCAACCTCTGCTGTGTCTGGCAGTATCTCTTCTTACGGAGCACACCTGGAATGCTGGACAATTCCTTGGAAGATCCTGCCTTGTACCTTGGTTCTTTTGAACTTTGAACTTCACTCCTCACTGAACATGTCCTGATATAAGCCACGCTTTTGCATTTCCCATTTGCCAGGTTGATGTGCTCTCTCTCCAGCCAATACCTCTCTCTTGTCACTCCTGTGCTCTCTATATCTACTACTTGTTACCAACCTTTGGCTTGTTCCTCGACTACGCTTCTGCTTGATCCCAACCTGCAACCACTTGCTTCCAACCATTGGCTTGTTCCTCAACTACGCTTCTGCTTGATCCCAACCTGCAACCACTTGTTACCAACCTTTGGCTTGCTCCTCAACTACGCTTCTGCTTGATCCCAACCTGCAACCACTTGTTACCACCCTTTGGCTTGTTCCTAGACTACGCTTCTGCTTGATCCAACCTGCAACCATTTGTTACCACCCTTTGGCTTGTTCCTGGACTGCGCTTCTGCTTGATATCAACCTGCAACCACTTGTTACCACCCTTTGGCTTGTTCCTAGACTATACTTCTGCTTGATCCCAACCTGCAACCACTTGTTACCAACCTTTGGCTTGTTCCTGGACTACGCTTCTGCTTGATATCAACCTACAACCACTTGTTACCAAGGTTTGGCTTGTTCCTCGAGTACGCGTCTGCTTGATCCCAACCTGCAACCACTTGTTACCGACCTTTGGTGTGTTCCTCAACTACGCTTCTGCTTGATCCCAAGCTGCAACCACTTGTTACCCACCTTTGGCTTGTTCCTCGACTACACTTCTGCTTGATCCCAACCTACAACCACTTGTTACCAACCTTTGGCTTGTTCCTCGAATATGCTTCTGCTTGATCCCAACCTACAACCACTTGTTACCCACCTTTGGCTTGTTCCTCGACTACACTTCTGCTTGATCCCAACCTACAACCACTTGTTACCAACCTTTGTGTTAGGAATGGACTGGCCAGCAATGGTGGGACTCACCTGCCTTTTGATCTGCAGTACCAGGGCTGGCCAGCGGGTGCTCCCAGCAATCAGAGACTCAACCTTTCAGCCAGCTAACACCTGGAACTGATGATGCTGGGGTATTTAAGGGATGGCCAGACCCACAGACTCTGCCTTGGTGTGTGTTTTGTCCTGGGCCCTGTATCTGTCCTGCATCCTGTTTCTGTCCCTCTGCCTGACCCTCTGTACTACGCTGCTTGTTACCTGTTTTGATCTCTGGCTTGTGACCCTGACCATCCCTCTGCCTGACCCTCTGTACTACGCTGCTTGCTACCTGCTGAACCTGGCCTGTGACCCCGACCATTCTCTGCTTGCTCCCCCTGTACCTACCTGCCCAATTGATATTGACCCGGCCTGCCTGACGACGCTTGCTTGTATGTACTGTTATCTGTGGGTGGTTTGGTTTGGTTTGTTTGCACTGTATTATGTTTAGTATTGCACTGCGTTTATGTTTGTATGGTTAGTGTTAATAAATTGTATTGTTTATCACATATCTGAAGTCTGCGTTTCCCTGCGTCAGTCACACACCTCTGGTCATACCTGGGAGCCCTGACATTACACCAAGGCCAATCCTGACCAGAAGTGGCTGCACAGGGAAGCCATCTTGGCTTGTTGATGGGAAGGATGGATCTGGATGAGGTTGTGTATTTATATCTGCTAGTGTTTGATGACAGGGAGTATGCTTATCAGACTCTGAAGGAGTATCCCCGGGATGAACTGCTAGAATGTATACGGATCGCTCATGTTCTAGTAGATCAGGTCACAGAGTTCTCTGAGGTGCAGCCTTTGATTGAGGTTTGTGCTGAGTTGGTTTCATCTGGTTCCCCCGAATGCAGGGATGAATTTTTGCCACCATTTAGTGCAGACCAGGTAGAGTCCCTGGTGTGGTTATTAGAGGATGATGTGGGTTACTTTCTGGAGCGTTATTCCACATGTTCACCACAGACACTAAGAGATTGTATAAACGCAGTGCAGTCATTGACCAGACAGGCTTTGTGTAAGCTCAGCTTTGTTCAACCCCATACTGTAGACATGGACAGACTTGTTGCACCCAGCCTCAGTCAGCTTACAAAGACCCAGTCCTGCTTCTAATCTATTTCCTCAAAACTCTACTCCTGCATTCCCAACAGCTCCTCCTGCCCTGCTATCTACCGCATGTCAGTCCCCTGTTCCCACTCGCTGCACCTATCCTGCCTTTAACCCTGTAAAAGAGCCCTCTGTAGCAACCGCTCCCTCTCCTGTTCCATCCTCCAGCTCTTCTCTGTCTCCAGCTGCTCCATTCGTTTGCAGACCTGCGTTTACTTGCAGTGCTCCAGTAGTTAAAACCAGAAAAAAGCGAAAATTCTTTCCAACCAATACCATCCTGCCAGTATCCAAACCGGTGAGCCTGCCTTCCGTGGTTCAGCCTGAAGCCTCTACTCGGCCTGAAGCCTCTACTCGGCCTGATGCCTCTACTCGGCCTGAAGCCTCTACTCGGCCTGAAGCCTCTACTCGGCCTGAAGCCTCTACTCGGCCTGATGCCTCTACTCGGCTGAAGCCTCTACTCGGCCTGATGCCTCTACTCGGCCTGAAGCCTCTACTCGGCCTGAAGCCTCTACTCGGCCTGAAGCCTCTACTCGGCCTGATGCCTCTACTCGGCCTGAAGCCTTTACTCGGCCTGATGCCTCTACCCAGCATGATGAACTGATCCAGCCTGACGATCCTATTAGGCCAGTTGACTCGATGCCCCTGTTGATCCAGATGATCCGGTACCTGATCCGGTGCCCGCTGTCGAGCCAAATGACCTGATGCCTGGTGACCCAGTGCCCGCTGTCATACCTGGTGACCGATGCCCGCTGTCGAGCCAGACAATCCGGTACCTGATGACCCGGTGTGCTCACTGTCGTGCCTGTTGACTCGGAGCCCACTGCCTTGCCAGATGACGCGGTGCCCGCTGTCAAGCCAAATGACCTGATGCCTGGTGACCCAGTGCCCACGGTCCAGCCAGACGATCCAATGTCTGACCCAGTGCCAGCGGTCATCCCAGTTGACTCGGAGCCCACGGTTGTGCCTGGTGACTCGGTGCCCGCCGCCCCGCCTGGGGGCCTGAGACCTGTCGTTCCACCTGGGGGTCCGGCGCCCGCCACTCCGCCTGAGGGTCCGAGACCTGTCGCTCCGCCTGGGGGTCCGGCGCCCGCCGCTCCGCTTGAGGGCCCGAGACCTGTCGCTCCTCCTGGGGGTCCGGCGCCCGCCGCTCCGCCTGAGGGCCCGAGACCTGTCGCTCCATCTGGGGGTCCGGCGCCCGCCGCTCCGCCTGAGGGCCCGAGACCTGTCGCTCCTCCTGGGGGTCCGGCGCCCGCCGCTCCGCCTGAGGGCCCGAGACCTGTAGCTCCGCCTGGGGGTCCGGCGCCCGCCGCTCCGCCTGAGGGCCCGAGACCTGTCGCTCCATCTGGGGGTCCGGCGCCCGCCGCTCCGCCTGAGGGCCCGAGACCTGTCGCTCCGCCTGGGGGTCCGGCGCCCGCCGCTCTGCCTGGGGGCACGATGCCTGTCGCCCCGCCTGGGGGCACGATGCCTGTCGCCCCCGCCTGGGGGCCCGATGCCTGTCGCCCCGCCTGGGGGCCCGATGTGCCTGTCGCCCCGCCTGGGGGCCCGATGCCTGTCGCCCCCGCCTGGGGGCCCGACGCCTGCTGCTCCGCCCGGGGGTCCGGCGCCCGCCACTCCGCCCGCCTGAGGGCCCGAGACCTGTCGCTCCTCCTGGGGGTCCGGCGCCCGCCGCTCCGCCTGAGGGCCCGAGACCTGTCGCTCCATCTGGGGGTCCGGCGCCCGCCGCTCCGCCTGAGGGCCCGAGACCTGTCGCTCCTCCTGGGGGTCCGGCGCCCGCCGCTCCGCCTGAGGGCCCGAGACCTGTAGCTCCGCCTGGGGGTCCGGCGCCCGCCGCTCCGCCTGAGGGCCCGAGACCTGTCGCTCCATCTGGGGGTCGCCCGCCCGCCGCTCCGCCTGAGGCCCGAGACCTGTCGCTCCCGCCTGGGGGTCCGGCGCCCGCCGCTCTGCCTGGGGGCACGATGCCTGTCGCCCCGCCTGGGGGCACGATGCCTGTCGCCCCGCCTGGGGGCCCGATGCCTGTCGCCCCGCCTGGGGGCCCGATGTGCCTGTCGCCCCGCCTGGGGGCCCGATGCCTGTCGCCCCGCCTGGGGGCCCGACGCCTGCTGCTCCGCCCGGGGGGTCCGGCGCCCGCCACTCCGCCTGAGGGCCCGAGACCTGTCGCTCCTCCTGGGGGTCCGGCGCCCGCCGCTCCGCCTGAGGGCCCGAGACCTGTCGCTCCGCCTGGGGGTCCGGCGCCCCGCCGCTCCGCCTGAGGGCCCGAGACCTGTCGCTCCATCTGGGGGTCCGGCGCCCGCCGCTCCGCCTGAGGGCCCGAGACCTGTCGCTCCGCCTGGGGGTCCGGCGCCCGCCGCTCTGCCTGGGGGCACGATGCCTGCTGCTCCGCCTGGTAAACCGATGTGCCTCTGCCCGGAGTCCTGCCCGATGTGCCCATGCCTCTGCCCGGAGTCCTGCCCGATGTGCCTCTGCCCGGAGTCCTGCCCGATGTGCCTCTGCCCGGAGTCCTGTCCGATGTGCCTCTGCCCGGAGTCCTGCCCGATGTGCCTCTGCCCGGAGTCCTGCCCGATGTGCCTCTGCCCGATGTGCCTCTGCCCGGAGTCCTGCCCGATGTGCCTCTGCCCGATGTGCCTCTGCCCGGTGTGCCTCTGCTCGGAGTCCTGCCCGATGTGCCTCTGCCCGGAGTCCTGCCTGATGTGCCTCTGCCTGATGTGCCTCTGCCCGGTGTGCCTCTGCCCGTGTGCCTCTGCCCGGTGTGCCTCTGCTCGATGTGCCCGCTGCCCGGAGTCCAGCCCGGTGTGCCGCTGCCCGGAGTCCAGCCCGGTGTGCCGCTGCCCGGAGTCCTGCCCGGTGTGCCAGTCTTTGATATCCCGCCAGTTACCAGACCCGGGCGGTGGAACATTTTGCCCAGCTAGGACTGTTTGGAGCGTCCTGAGGTCGCTCCTTGGGGGGGGGGTACTGTTAGGAATGGACTGGCCAGCAATGGTGGGACTCACCTGCCTTTTGATCTGCAGTACCAGGGCTGGCCAGCGGGTGCTCCCAGCAATCAGAGACTCAACCTTTCAGCCAGCTAACACCTGGAACTGATGATGCTGGGGTATTTAAGGGATGGCCAGACCCACAGACTCTGCCTTGGTGTTGTGTTTGTCCTGGGCCCTGTATCTGTCCTGCATCCTGTTTCTGTCCCTCTGCCTGACCCTCTGTACTACACTGCTTGTTACCTGTTTTGATCTCTGGCTTGTGACCCTGACCATCCCTCTGCCTGACCCTCTGTACTACGCTGCTTGCTACCTGCTTAACCTGGCCTGTGACCCCGACCATTCTCTGCTTGCTCCCCCTGTACCTACCTGCCCAATTGATATTGACCCGGCCTGCCTGACGACGCTTGCTTGTATGTACTGTTATCTGTGGGTGGTTTGGTTTGGTTTGTTTGCACTGTATTATGTTTTAGTATTGCACTGCGTTTATGTTTGTATGGTTAGTGTTAATAAATTGTATTGTTTATCACATATCTGAAGTCTGCGTTTCCCTGCATCAGTCACACACCTCTGGTCATACCTGGGAGCCCTGACACTTTGGCTTATGCCATGACTACACATCTTCTTGATCCCTACCTGCTATATCTGCTGCTGGACCCCGGCTTGCACAATCCTGGTGGGGCGATCCTGAGGATTGTGACCTGGTACTAACATGCAGCAAAACCCATCCCCACCATCAGGAACTCTGGTGAATACCAGTTAATGCTTAGACCCCACACCTTGGGTGAGTCCGCATCATCTTCCAGGGTGACCTGCTTGTGTACTTATCCTGCTGGTCGGTGGGAGCCTCTCTACTGCTATAGCTACTGGACTCCGAGCCTGACCTCTGACCCCTGACCGTGACACCACATGGAATAGTGTTACAAAAATGGTGCATTTTCACTTCTTTGGCTGCTCTGCAATCTCCGGATCAACTAGACTAAGTCCGCCAGAATCTATGGACCAGATGGTCACAGCCTGGGGAGATTTCCCTATAGATACAGTATGAGGATGGATGGGCATGTCCCAGAATTCCAGGAAGGGACTGTGTGGGATCTTCACAAAGGAAGTTCACAAAACTTCAGGATGGTCCCAATAAAGATTGGATTTTAAATTTTCACCATGAATACACTTTAGGTTCTCTCTGTTGGAATTGATTTCTGGAGGAAGTTTTTGACTGGAAAAGATATTTCTTTCAGAAAAGCGTCATGGAGGAGCTACGTCTTCAGATTGGCTATTCAGGATGGATAGGTGTCTGGGAGGGGATTTCTGGGGTGAGACTGGGCTTTGTTTGGCACAGTTGAGCTTTAAGGCGGAACTAAACTTATCTTCACTCCAACAGCCCTGTCCATCCCCAGCATCTTCTCCTGTGTGCTGCTATTCAGCCATCTTCATTGGCCGATACAGGAGTCAGTCATCCCGGCACACAGAATGGTGCAAGCTCAGTGTACATATCAGAGAAGACAGCGAGCCGGCAGTAAATGTATTTAATTGTAGAAGAGATGTTGCATTTGTCTTCTGCAATAGACAGCCCCCTGCTCGCTGTTTGTGACAGGAGAACTCTAGTTACAAATTACGTCCTACAGGTGATGAGGCCAAAGATCCTTTACCAAAGGATCGTTTCATTCTTCATGGCATAGATTCAACAAGATGGTGGAAACATTCTTCAGAGATTTTGGCCCATATTGACATGAGTTCCTGTTGTCTTTCTATCATCTGGAACCAGTCTGCCCATTCTCCTCTGACATCTGACATCAACAAGGCATTTTCCTCCACACAACTGCCACTCCCTTTTTCGGACCATTCTCTGTAAACCCTAGAGATGGTTGTCCGGGAATATCCCTGTAGGGATGCAGTGTTTGAAATACTCAGACCAGCCCATCTGACACCAACAACCATGCCACATTCAGTGTCACTTTAATCCCCTTTCTTCCCCATTCTGATGCTTGGTTTGAACTTCAGCAAGTTGTCTTCACCACGTCTAGATGCCTGAATGCATTGAGTTGCTGCCATGTGATTGGCTGATTAGCCATTTGTGTTACCAAACCATTGAACAGGTGGACCTAATAAAGTGTCCGGTGAGTGTAGATTCTCTTCTTCCTGTTAAAGGCTCACTTCCACCTTTGGGGTTCACTGTGGTCCTTGTTGTCTCCATGTGTCTTCCATCGCCTCTCTCTACACTATGGGGGAGATTAGCAATTTGTGTTACCAAGAAATTGAACAGGTGGACCTAATAAAGTGTCCGGTGAGTGTAGATTCTCTTCTTCCTGTTAAGGGCTCACTTCCACCTTTGGGTTCACTGTGGTCGTTGTTGTCTACATGTGTCTTCCATCACATCTCTACACTATGGGGGAGATTAGCAATTTGTGTTACCAAGAAATTGAACAGGTGGACCTAATAAAGTGGCCAGTGAGTGTACATCAGCACAGGGCCAGTGGGTTGGACCCAAAAATCCTTCCAAGAAAAACCCGGGAAACACAGATAACCCCAACCCTCCTGTCCGGGGCAGCACCTGTTTAGACTAATGATAGGCAACCTGCCTTCCAGCGAATTCCTGTAACTCAGTTCTCATTCTATTTCTGGAAAAATTCTGGAGTCAAAACCTCTTTTTTCATCTACAGAAATAACGATCGTTGTTGGAATAAGAAATAACATTTTACACCTTTGGAAAGCCAGCGAACCTGAACAATGTTTGCAGAAATATCTCAATGTATGTAGATACAAGGAAGACGATGTTCCAATGTCCTCCATGGTGCAATATTACTACAAATATTTCTTCCACGTATAATAGTTGGGTCTGCATTAGATGCACCAGAAATATTCCAGTAATTTGCACGTTGTTTCCCACCTTCCTTGAAGTCCCGGTAACCTTCTCTGTGATTTTTGTCATTAGGTAATTTTCATTTAACTGAATAGCTCAAAAGGTAGAACGCTTCGCCTTTCTTCTTCCTGTCAAAGGCAGACATGCAATAAAAAAAGGGCCATTAAATTCCACTGATCCCATCTCCTTAAGTTCTTAGCTGAGCCGCCTATTAACCATGGAAGGCTGAGGAGTTCTTGTGTTTTAAGCAGAAGGTAGCCGGTCTAATTACACCTGTTCACTCCGGATCTGAAGA